CTGGCGTTGTCGGAGAGGGCCACGGAAGCTTATGCTGCTTCTCAGTGCATCTGGCAGCGCGTTCGTCTTCATACATCCGCTAGGGTGGGGTTGCGAAGGCCATCTGCGTGCAGGGGAGATTGAGAGGACGGAAGAAAGAAATGAAATATATTGAGGAGAAACAGGAGCAGAAGGAGGTGATGCGAGAGAAAAACGATGAAAAATGCATGCAGCCCTCGAGCAGTCGATCGAGGAGGTGCCGAAATGCATCGTTGAGATGGCGGGGGGAACATAGTGATAAATGAGCGTAGAGTAGAGAAAGCAGAAATAAAAGACTTTCAGGAGAAAGAAGAAACAATATTATACATAATGTTCAAAAAATCCATGAAAAAAACATATTTCTAGCCGTCAATATGCCGAGGTTACCACAAAAAAATATATGAATCGCTTCGTTCATGTTCAGATTCAGAACTTGCACGGAGCTGCCTATACACCTGAAATTCTCTGGGGTGTATAGGCAGGTTTCTCTCAGAGAAAGCACAGCATAAAGGGCACCGCCAGCACCGCATTTCGCCTCTAATCGACTCTGTGAACTCAAAATATTGTAAATATTTCATTAAATATTTTAATTCAAATAAAAAAACACAAAATTACAGACAAACTTACGCTCAACAAGTCGATGTTCAGATCGGCAGCGCCGGGGCCCCCTCGGGGGGGCCCCCTGAAACCCAGCTCTCGATTGTACCGATCAGGGTAATATATGAATATATATTTTTTTTAATTTATAAATATTTATGCAATTAGAGTTATGATGAATACTTAAAAGGTAATATAGCGGCAACTAAACGGCCATATGTTGTAACCCTCAACATATCTACCGTCGCCTGTTGGTGTTCTTTCTGTTTCGTTTCCGGCGTCTGTCTGTATATTTCAGTGATATTTCCTTCCTTCTCCATATATATATAATATACATAATATATATAATATATATGATATATATAATACATTTAATATATATCTATATATTGAGATACGCTTTTAATCGGGGTATTAATATTCCAGTACCTTGGCGTTAACCCCCCCCCACACTCGACTTCAGCAAACTGTTGTTCAGGCAATTATGCATGCGAGTATGCATGCATGCATACACATGCATGCATGCATAAATGCATGCATACATTGATGCGTGCATGCACGTATATTTCGCCATAAACCCGTATTCCTGCTGCAGTTCCTCTGTAGTTGCTGCATGCTGACGGCAGCCTCAGTCGCCGCAGCGCACCCAGCGCACCTGCATTGAAATAACTGTACAACGTTACGCACATATATATATATATATATATATATATATATATATATATATATATATATATATATATATATATATATATAACATCGCGTCTACTGGTTGTTTATGCGGCACCAGCAGCAAGCCGGGTTCAAGCCAGTTCCCCAGCTAGCTATCTATCTATCTGCCTAGCTATCTCTCTGGCTAGCTAGCTCGGCCTGCACGGCACTGCATCCAGTTATCTATGCATAGCTAGCTAGCTAGCTATGTAGCTGTACTTCCGCGCAGGCAGCTGGCTGTTCGAGCTATCTGAGCAGTCTTACAGCTAGCTAGCAGCGCGGCTAGCTAGCGGCGTGGCTAGCTAGCTAGCTAGCTATGTATACACCGCAAGAAGGCCGCAGATGCCGGCCTGAAGAAGGAACTATTAAATATATTGTCAACGACAAGAGAAAGAAGAAAACAAAAATATATTTGGATGCAGCAGATGCATGCATGCATGCATGCATGCATGCATAGCTAGCTAGCTAGCTAGCTGGCTAGCTGTAAAACTCCCCGCAGCATAGTAGCCACAGTTTGCCTTCCCCCCTCCCCTGCCCCCGCCCCCCAAACAAATACAAAACCGTAAACCCTAAACCCTAAACCCTAAACCCTTTCAGCCCCCTACACAGAGGCCTATGCAGATGCATGCATGCATGCATGCATGCATGCGTTCATCATCAGTGCGGTGTATAGAATCCTTAAATGCTGCAGCAGCAAAAGTAGCAGCAATTTGTTTGGTTGCATCTCTCCTCTCCCAGTTGCAGTTCCTGCTGCAGTTCCTTCTGCTGCTGCTGCTGCAGTTCCTGCTGCTGCTGCTGCTGCTGCTGCTGCTGCTGCTGCTGCTGCTGCTGCTGCTGCAGTTTATGCTTTTCCTTTGTAGAGATGGTGAGCACAGAACTCATCGTAAGCGGCAATGAGTGCTGCTCGTGCCCCTTCTCTGAGCTGACTAGACACCGCAGCAACTGTCTTTCCTCCTTCTTCTGCTGCTGCTGCTGCTGCCAGCAGCTCAAACCCCACGCACTGCAGACGAACACACAGAGCCTGCTGCTGCTGCCTCTCTCCTGCAGCAGAGACACACACACAAACAGCAGCAGCAGCAGCAGTTGCAGCAGTAGTAGTAGCAGTTGTAAACGCAATCAACAACAACAGAACCAACAGCAGCAGTAGCGGTTACTGCAGCAGCAGGATACAGAGAAGCAGCAGCAGCAGCAGCAGCAGCAGCAGCAGCAGCAACAGCAGGCAGCAGCATTATTATTTCTTTACCTAACAATACACGTGCGTTGCTTGCTGCTTTTCCTCCTGCTGCTGCTGCTGCTGCTGCTGCTGTTGCTGTTGTAATAGACCCCTGCAGCAGCTGCTGCCGCAGGTGCAGCCCTTCAGCAGCTAGAAACAGCAGCAGACGTTTGCTGCTGCTGCTGCTGCTGCGGCTAGCAAGAGCTGCAGCAGCACGCCCCCAGGCTTCTAATCCGTCCTCAGCCACCCTAAATATAAATAACATAAAACACAGCAGCAGCAGAAGATAGCAGCAGCAGCAGCAGCAGCAGCAGCAGCATATACGATGAGACGACAACCCAGCAAACAGCAGCAGCAGCAATAGCAGTAGCAGCAGCAATAGAAGCAGCAGCAGCAATAGAAGCAGCAGCAGCAATAGAAGCAGCAGCAGCAGTCGCAGCACCAGCAGCAGTAGCAGCAGCAGCAACAGCAGCAGCAACAGCTGTACCTTCTGTCTTGTATCCTTGGCAGCAGGTGCAGCAGCCGCAGCAGCAGCAGCAGCACAGCTTGCTGCTGCCGCTGCAGCGGCAAGAACTCATGAGCCTTCCACATAGAGACGAGGATTATGCTGCAGCTTCTTAACGCAGCTCTCGCAGCTATACTCTCCAGCTGCTGCTGCTGCTGCTGCTGCTGCTGCTGCTGTTGCTGCTGCTGCTGCTGCTGCTGCTGCTGCTGCTGCTGTTGCTGCTGGGCAGCGTCGTCAGCCTGGGCGAATTCGACGGCCCCTCTAGCGAACTCCATCATTGCATCTGCCACTCCCTCCAGCTGCTGCTGCTGCTGCTGCTGCTGCTGTTGCTGCTGCTGCTGCTGCTGCTGCTGCTGCTGCTTTGGGGTGTCTTTGAGGTGTTGTGCTGCTGGGCGTTTGCTGGCAGCAATAACCAAAAGACAGCAGCAGCGGAATACAGCAGCAAGAAACTGAGCACTGCGTGAGCAGCACCAACCCAACAAACAACACACTCGCTGCTGCTGCTGCTGCTGCTGCTGCTGCTGCTGCTGCTGTAGTAGTAGTAGTTGTTGTTGCTGCTGCAGCTGTTGGTGTTGCTGCTGCTGTTGCTGCTGCTGCAGAGGGTATACTGAGGAGAGAGAGCCGGCGTTTCTCGCTGCTGCCAGGGCTGCTTGCTGCTGCTGCTGCTGCTGCTGCTGGTGCTGCTGCTGGTGCAGCTTGTGCTGCAGCGTGTGCATGAGTTGCAGCAGCAGTTGAGCAGCAGCAAGCAGCAACTGCTGCACTTTGCTGCTGCATTTATTTTGTCTGCGAAGACAACGAATTAGTTCTTGCCGCTGCAGCAGGAGGCCCCAGACAGCGTGAGCGCATGCAGCAGCCTCCAGCGCCTCCTCCTCCACCTCCTGCTGCTGCTGCTGCTGCTGCTGCTGCTGCTGCTGCTGCTGCTGCTGCTGCTGCTGCTGTTGAAGGGCTTGCATGCGAGAGAGGATGTGCTCAAGGACAGCAGTAAACAGCGGGGCTGGCAGACCCACCACCAACGCACTCCAGCAGCTGCAGCAGCAAACACAGCAGCAGCAGCAGCAGCAGCAGCAGCAGCAGCAGCAGCAGATGATGATGATGATGATGATAAATATGCAGTAGGAGAAAAGAGCCTTCATAAATATAGCGCAGCAGCAGCAGCAACAGCAGCAGTAGAAACAGCAGCAGCAGCAGAAGCAGCAGCAGCAGAAGCAGCAGTATATATATAAACATATATATATATATATATATATATATATATATATATATATATATATATATATATATA